ATATATATATATATATATATATATATATATATATATATGTGTATATATATATATATATATATATATATATATATATATATATATATATATATATATATATATATATATATATATATTATTCATCAACTTATTATTACAAGAGGTTGACGAAATTTTCTCAATGCTGTCAGATATTTCGAGCATAAAGACGTTCTCGATTACATCAGTCCAATCACTGATCTGTGAGTCCAGGTACATGTGTCTGTTGTTTTGATTGTTCATTATTTCAAGTCTATGTATGGATTAACCTGATTGATATGCCCCAGCAATTCAATAATCCAGATATTTTTAAATGTTCTCAAGTCATGCAGTGTAAGTATTTCACAATTATAAAAAAAAAATCACAAAGTGTCTTTGTCATTTATATAACATTGCGAATGTTAAATTCTATATCATTAGTCTTGCTTCCATGAGAGTTTCAAATTTTTTTAACCCTCAGAAAAATAATTCACTCACCATTAAAATAAATAAATACATAAATACAACACAGACAATAACAAGGAATATTGTGTAGACTGGAAGCCATTTGTTGGACTGTGGGTAAAAAAACCTACAACAAACAAAATGAAAATGACTATGTACAATGTCTTTGTATATCTGGGTTTATCTGAAAAAAGTACCAGTACTCCACATATATTTCTACAAATCAATTAAGAGGAATGGTGAACTACCGTTACATATTGCCCCATATATTGTACTAGGTATATTGTACTATATGGAATATATAATGATACAAAGGGGTATCCATTCATAAGAACTATTGATCTGCTTATTAACCTAAAGGTGTTTGTTTCTTGTTTTAGCAAGTGGATATAAGAGTTACCGCCATATGTCTTTAAATATCTGTACTATTTTTTGCTAACTATTTAAAGTATAAGGCTGATAATTTCGGAAAGAAAATAGACCACAGACCTACAGATAATTACTTATGCACTAACGTTTCACTTACCAATTCAGATCATTGAAGTCATTTTTCATCATAGCGATGGAATACAGCATAAATATACTGAACAGGAATGTCAGCGTCAACAGAAAGAAGGTACACAGGTCCCTCTGAAATCAGAAAATACCTGGTAAGCATAATTTTGCCCAATTTAAATTGTGCCCCAGAGTTGAGCATTAAAGATACTGAAGTTGTTATCATAATATAGTCCATTTTAAAGTTGCTTACTGAAGATGATAGTGTAAAAGTGAAATTTTCTTCATAAAATGGTACAGAAATGTTTTGCATTTAACATTTTACATGTTTATCCACTAGTATAACGTTAACTTGTCATGTTTCATCTAAAACATGAAAAAAAAAAATTCATATATATATTTATCATGTCAGAAAAACAGAAGTTTGTAAATTCTGTACATGTACTATATGATAGTCATACATTGAAGATCCTAATCTTCTTTGCAGCTAAGGCCAAAATAAAAAATAGGTTTGTTTCCCCTAACGCGACCGACCCACTTAAATCGTGCCGACTGAAAAGTTTTTTTAATAAGATTATTCAAATATTTATTTTTATTGTTTATCAACTCTATAAAACACAATTTCATCAAAATTCGTTTTTTATCAGAACGGCGGCTTTTGTTTTACTCTCATTTAGCGCCCACAACATGTGGCCACAGAGGGTTATATATCTAGTGTTATAAACAATGGCGATGTATCAATCTTAATATGCATCTTTAACTTATTAGAATCCTATGCTCTGGAAACATTTCGTGAATTAAATATACCATGACTAAGGAGTGTTAAGATGGTATTTACAAATGTGTCTTCTAAATTAACTTACGTAGTAAGCACGACAAAGCTTGCCTTATGAGCAGACGAGGGGCCCAATTTGTGTATGCATATTAATAAATTTCACTCCATTTCATTTGTTTCGATCTAAAAAAAACACTTCACGTATGATTCTATTTTTACTATATAGGACCATAGGATTTGTAAATAAATCTTTGTATAATTATTTCATCTCGATGAATATATTTCGGATGTCGTTTCTTCATTCCTTTTATTTATGGGGTAAACTTCGTAACTATAACATTAGATATATGAAACTTTAATCATTTTAGATATGGTTTGGTTGAATTAAATATTGTTTATATAGGTACTCTCTTTTCAAATAGTGTTGAAATCTTTAAAGTTGGCTTATGGTACGGCTTCCTGAGACGTCCAGTGTATTTTTGTTTTCTTTAGTTGTGCCCTTGAAAATAGGTTGTTTCTTTGCTTTAAAGTACCTTTAAAAATTTCTGGGTCGACAACATTTGGACACCTGCCTGGTGGAGGGCTCCTAATTTAGACTTTTTCTCGGCACTTATGGCTATTGATCACAAAGCATCAGTAAGGGATCTTTATCGTGCCAACATCTAAATGTATACTGTGACACTGCATGGTCCTACGTTTTTTACGGTCTCATTTGACTGGCTAGTTTCCACGCCCCACGTCGGGACCTGTGACTTAATTAGAATAAGCTCCTGAATTACGTCGCGACTTCAAAACGAATCACTAGAATTTACTTCGCCACGCAAGGCCCTTGACATTTTATCTGTGTAAGCACTCGAAGATGATAGTAGGTTTGAAAACAAATATACTCGGATGGCCGATGGTTGAGTATTTGCGAATCTTGTCTTTTTGTAAAAATTCAATTTCAATAAATTTACGGTGGCCTGAGATATTTCACAAGTTCAAATGAATATTTTGTGAATTAATTTACCATACATGTTGCTTTTTAAATTTCATCTGTATGATATTCGGGTTAAATATCGGTTTCTTTTGTTCTTTCTTATTTATAGAGATATTATTCAATTTTCAGAATGTATTTTCAAAACTGCTGTCAGAAAAAAAAAAATAATTTACCTACCTACCTACTCAACTTGAAATTTTAGGGGCGGGTTAGGGGAAACAAAGATATTTTTAATGATGGCCTAACTGACCTTTCTGCTGTCTCGGGTGGATTGTTTGTAGCGGTGCCATCGACAACCCAGACTACCGGTCAAGCACACCAAGCAGTACCGGTGCTGGTAGTCTTGTAGTTTCACGTGGGACACCATGTCGCCTCAGAAATTAGCCGCCTGTTCATAGCCATGGCCTGTAAGAACATACATTTCAATTATGTCTTCAAAATTCACAAAAAGTTTAGACTTTTATATAATGTGTTGACGACAATTAAACAATGAAATAATGTACTAAGCTTAACCTACTGGTGATCACAGAAAACCCTGTAATGTTTTAAATAAAGTGAAATTAAGTAAAGTCCATAAAATTTATCCTTTTTTCAGTGCTAACACTTGCTCTAAATAAATGTAAAATGTACAGCATATATGGCTATAAATATATATATAAAGTAATTTGAACTTTATATAAATCTCTTGGTGAAAATATGCAACTCTCTCTTTATTAAAATATGAAATAAAATATGAATCATTTATCACAGATATCTTGATAAAATTAAAATTTTCTTCTTTTCATCAAGGGCAGATAACTCTTCAAAAACGTTTAAGGGGAAGAAGGACCTTTAGCTGAAAAAATACTTGTCATTCAATTTTTTTCATATTTTGTATATTTCTAATTAAGTATGTCCCACATATCTTAAAGCAGTTATATCATTAGGTTTCTGACCTTATTTTAGAGATATTGATTGACAAATATGATTCCCTACAGTATCTTAGTGGAGTTTTAATTCTCCATGTTTCCAGGCTCATTACTCTGTCCATAATTGTATTTTTAAAGCATATATAAAAAATATGTAAGTGAACATGTATCTTTTAAAATATTTCAGAGTATGAATTGGGTTTAAAATTCGAAAAGGCAAGTTTCATCTATCACACTGCATCTGGATAGGGAAAATTACGAACTTTTTAAGACAACTTAAACAACAAAAAACGTAATTTACAAAAAATCCTATCATTCAATATTTTTAAATTTACGTTCAAATGCAAGTCCTTCAAATTATTGATTAACTGTAAAAATTTCGAATGGTGAAGCTGACCTTAATATTGCACAGGACATCGTTAAAGACGACATAAGCAGGACAAACACTTGTCATGTTTACATTTCTCGAGTACGGGAAAAACCAACTATGACGTCACACGTAAGCTAAATAAGCCAATTAAGATATACCTACATAAGATTTCCGTCATCAGCCATGCAAAAATAATTTTTGTGTTCCCCGTTTCTCAAAATACTTCATTCTATACTGATTATGACCTGTTTTTACATAATAACACCGCCCTTGTATTCACCGAGTATGATCTTGCTGTACTAGCAGATCGTGTATGACGTCACCGACTTGTGGGACGCGCAGTGTAAAGAAACAGAGGAGTGGATCAATCTTTTTTCATAATTTGTTAATGTTTACAAGAATGTTAAACTTTTTATTTTTTTAATATAAGATGGTAATTAAAGAAAAAAAAAATTGTCAAAAATTTATACAAGAACTGGTGCTTTACACGTTTTGCACTTATATAAATGGAGACTATGACGTAGTTTAACAAAGTCATGTGACCATGTGTCCTTCATCCCCATAAGGTGCAAAATGGCCAGCTTCTTTTATGCTATCAGTCATGTGAATTTGATTCATTTCACTTTCATTGTTATCTAGCAATGCATATTTATCTACTTTAAAATGATTCAAAATTGTTCAATATCCCTGCATTATACATTGAATACCTTAATCACAAGTCTTAATATAACAGATTGATGACTGCCTCTGAAATTATGTAGACAATTTTTGTTTTCACTTTTCTTTTACGAGTTTCTATATCAGAAAAAAATGGACCCTTGTTATCATTAGCCTATTTAACAACACCTGGAAAACACTGTTATGTCCATATTTTGGCAGTTGATATGATTTGATACATCACGTGAGGTGTATTGCAGTTTAATTCATAGGAAATATACCCCCTAATTCATTTATTGCAAAACATATCTAATTGTATCCCTTTTCCATGAGAGAGAACAATCTAAACATTTAAATTCAGAGTCATATAACAGGTTGGGACCACTCGCCCAAACAGGATATAATTGCCCATTTAGGATATAATATCCCAAATGGGATATAAATTTACAGTGCAAAAAATGAAAATTTTTATTTTGGCTATAAATATCATAAATCCACATCAAGATACTTATAAAGGAATAACTTTTGGTAAACAATTTTTTCTATATGCCCGTTGTTTAGGAGATTGATCCATCGGAAGTTCTTTAACTTCTTGGGGATCAATCTAACAAACTGTAGGGTTGCAGAAAAACTTGCTTGCCAAAAGATATTCCTTCTTAAGTATATTGATGCGGATTTATGATATTTATTGCCAAAATAATTTTTTTTCATTTTTTGCACTGTAAATTTATAGCCCATATGGGATATTATATCCCAAACGGGCAATTATATCCCATTTGGGCGAGTGGTCCCAACCTGTATAACAAGAATTCATGACTGTTACATGAACGTCAATGTGATTTTTTATCAATTTTTAATGATTTGTTCATGACAAAGACAGTAGCTAACTAGCTACTGAAAATATTGCAAACATCCACTACAGTGAATACACCAGTTTTGTTTTCAGCAAAGCATATAATTGATGTGGGGAGTGCCTGTGGTTCATAGGACTTGTGGACAGATTTAATAATGAAAATGCGCATTACTATTTCATCATTTACGGCATCTCTAATAGAATTTTAAGTTTACTGCTTAGATTTCATGTACATACAGAGTTTTTAAATTCAATTTTTGCGAAAATAGAAACGAAAGTCTCTCTCACCTTCAAATCTATCAAAAGTTGACAGGTCCTCTTCCACGACCGCCATATTTGTTCTCCAACACGTGCGCATTCGCATTACCAAGAAAATTACAGTCTTGCGCATATTGGCAATGGCGCACTCGTCAACAGCTGGTCAATAAAAGGCATCAACATGATCAACAAGCAGTACCAATTCAGAATTTCATTCACATATCCTTACAAAATAGATAGAAAATACTATCAGGAGTTTTTCATAAACTTCCTTCAGAAGAATCATCAAAGATTGTACGTTTTCAATTATATTTGTGGGCTAAGAAATTTATTTTTATTTTAGTTCTGTAGAAAAAAATCTTTTAAGCATATGGTGCAAAAGTTTCACAGAAATTTCCGTGGGGTAGACACATACCTCAGAGTGTGTATTGGGTGAAGAAGGGGGTGGGGTAAATAAGCAAAAAGAAAGGCCGGGGGCTTGTGATAGCTAGTAAACCACAGTACAGAAAGGGGGACAGACCAGATTTGGAAGAGATGACTCTACCATACATTTGCACACCCCCTATGGAAGTAGAGCACAGCAGCCACCTCCGTGCCTTTGCTTAATATAACAATCTTTAAATTAGTGAATTAACACATTTTTTTCTCAAGATTTTGTTCCTCTTCCAATGAAGTACTGATCAGAAAACCTTATACATGTACATGTATATCGTTCTGACGCATGGCGGTGCGAGAAAAACTAAGCGGGTTAAAAATGACTATATACCGTGCAGGTAAATTAAAATTGTTTATCACCGTTTATGGTCGGGTGATGTGGCTAGATAACTTCGCCTTACTGTTAAAGCTATCTATATAGTGGTGGATGTGACCAAGTATGTTTGTAGAGAATTTTACACTTGTATACCTTCTGGTCCGATAATACTCTTCTTCTTCTTCCCTTGATGGAGTAAATTCAATTTGAGTGTTAAAACTCCAGTAATTCCGTAGTGAACAGCTAAAAATCTATGTACACCGTATTAAAAGGGATAAAAATTTAAAAGTGGACAATTTAGTGGTGTAGAATATCAGACACGCTGATGGACTGTATTGCATGTCTGAAGGTGTCCACTGATGGTGAATTCCTACTCTTTTGGGGTTCTCCAGCTGTACCCGACATGGTTCCCTCCAACTTGTTGGGTGCGCCCATTTAGGAAATCCCGTACCCATTACAAATGGCAAGCCCAGCTTGTACAGAAGTCTTTGATGGGGGGGGGGGGAGGGGGATTTCGAAAAATCCAGCAATATGGTATGGAAAGCCAATATGGAAAGCCATAGGGGACCCCCAGGGCCAGGGTCTATATAATCTATAGTTTTAACCCTTGATTTCTACCCTGGCCTTCCCATGTTTGCCATAATATGGCATCTGGTCTATCCTTTATTAATTGTCTATGTTGCTAGCCAGACCCTGTACGGTACGTAATTGTTAGGTAGATTTCACAGGAGCGGTGTTTCCTGAGTCCATGCTGTGTGTGAATTTGTATGACAGTGTCATACAACTTACAATTTAAGATATTGTTTGTATGATATGATGATATATAGTCCATGATGTTGCTGAACATGATATAGAGCTGACAGGTAACTGAAGTCGACACAGGTCTATAGTTCTCTGCTTTGTCTTCGTCCCTTTTATTGTAGGTAGGCACGACATTTGCGGACTTACAGTCAGATGGTATTGTATCCTGGTTGATGGATGATTGGAACAACAGTTGAAATACTTGGACTATATCATCTGCAAACTCCAACAGCTAGTGTAATCCATACGGAACCTTGTCAGGACCTGTGGTCTTATATATATGACTTAAGGCCGGAAAGAAGTTTCTTTATTAAAATTCTGCACCAGTACTGATGTTAATGTTTCAATGTTAACCAAGAGGTTGCTTTTTTCACCCTATATAACGTAAAGTTTATAATAATCGTTGCTGCATTTATGCTTGATCAAATATGTTTTGAAAATAATACTTTATGTTCCTTAATTCCTCAATACTTTGGGGGGGGGGGGTTACATCGATTACTCTGTAATGCGCTGTCCATAATTATAGTGATCAGTGAATTACTAAAATCTGATTTATGGAGAACTCATTGTTCAGTTTACTCTATGTGAGGTTAAAGACAATTTCTTTGAAATACTATAAGATTTATGGTATTTGCTTTCAAATTTACCTTAAAAAAATCGGATATTATATTAAATGTTCGTTGATAAGCGTAAGACTGTTTTTAAATTAAATTCTCTCGTGCATAAATGCAAGTGTCTAAAATCAAAAGCAAGGTATGTGAAAGTGTTAATATTACGTTGGGGATCCTATTTAAATGGTCAGTATATTGTCAAACTTTAAGAAGGGCATTTCGAGCACTTATGACGAATCATCAATTAAATCCACAATTAACATTCCGAGAGATATATACATGTATATATTTAAAAAAATATATATGCTTACAAGCCCACCGATAAAAAAAAATGCATGAACACACAATTCCCAGCCCAGGCAAATTTCATTGGCTTCATGGATTATTAAAACATGATTGTGACACAAACCTTTTGTTTGTGTTGTCCATTCTATAGCTTAATGTTGAGCTAACTCTTCAAACAATCCATTAAGTTACCTGTAAGTGTCCATTCTTTTTGGAAAACTGTCCATTCTTTTAAGAATGGACAGTTTTTTGTTTTTTGTTGTTTTTTTTTTCAAAAGGAATGGACAGCTAAAACAAACAGAATGGGGAGTTACAGGTAAACTTTGGAATGTGTTCAAGAGGGAAACAAAAACAAATACATTCAATACTTTAATTTTAATTTACATGTAAATGACAAAAAGAACGCGGAGATCAAAGTTAGTCCAGAACACAATGTCTGCATAGCATCCACTCGATTTTACTCTTTTAAATCCATGAATAATGCACATTATTTCAATACTCAAAACTTAATTTTCACAAAACTTGAATTCAAATAACACTATTTCACATTTGATTAAAATTTTGGAAAAATCATTTCCTCGAGGAGAATTCATTTTCAGATAGAAGTACGTCTAATATTAAAACCTCCATTCAGAAAACAGTTTGCACCATGAACACTACACTGCTGCAGTTAATATTTCAGTAGAAAATAAATTAAAATGAAACATTTCCAGATTTGATTTGAAAAACATTTTCAGGTCGAAGATTGGCTCATGGCTAATCCAACACTCAGAACACAATTTGCATCTCACCATTACACTGCTGCAGTTAATATATCCTCAAAAACAGAATTAAAATAAAACATTTCCAGGTTTGATTTGAATTTGATCACCTTTATCTGTCGTTGAAGTTCATTTTTGGGTCAAAATTTGGCTAATATTTCTTTTACTCTTACTTTTCTGTTTCCAGATCCAAATGTCACTAATTTTGTGCATATTTTAGTTCATTAGATTTTAAATTGAATCTGCCATATACTCTCTCCATCACAGGAAAACACGTATGCACAACGCAAACTGTAAACTGATTTTGAAGTATCGCATACTTGTATAAATCCTAGTATCCCAAATATCCACCTGTAACTGTCCATTCTTAAGACAAAGACCTTTTGTTATTTGCATCTGGAAACACAATGGCTATTCAACAAATTGTTCTGCAAACCTAGCTGAAGTGTGACTGTCCATTCCGTAAACAATGAACTTGTCACTGCATGTGTGCTAAAATGTACCTGTCATATCTGATACCAGTTTTGTACATTTTTTATTTAATTTTCAGAACAAAGGAAATCATGTATTAAGTAGGAGAAAGGCCTCAAACTGTCCATTCTGTGAGAGAAAGAACTAATCTCGAGCCTACGGCCCTCGATTAGTTCTTTCTCTTACAGAATAGAAGTTTGAGGCCTTTCTCCTTTACATAAATTTCACCAATGAAATCTCACTAGTTTTAATTTTGAGTATACTTAATCATTGAAATGGCCAATACATGCATTTCAAAATACATACAATAATAACCATTTACTTGTTTTTGTGATCTAGACCTTAACCTACTCGTTAAGTGGAAGATATTTTTTTTTTATTTTGTCATAAATAAGATTTGATATTTAGCAAGTGCATATATAACTTGTCACAATGTGAACAATAAATACTAAAGCTATTCGCGTGACCTTGACCTTTGACCAAGATTTTTTAGATGGCTATATTTGCATTCATGATATGTTTGTGTTTTTATGTATATTTTGCTGAGATCAAATCGATATCGATAATTAATAAAGCCACTAACTGCCTCGTGGTCTTGATCTTTGAACTCCTGCTTTGGATTGCTAAAACAAACACCCACACAACTGTTACTTCCTTTTTATTCTAAAATAAAGTCAAGTTTAAAGCAACTTTTTCGGGCTACAGGTGGCTTCAACATCAATTTGATCAGAATTCGAATTTTGCTCTCTTGATGTTAGCTTATTTCCATTTTAAAAAGTTGATTCCTGTGTGGTTTAAACAAATAATTATTAATACTTAAAACCCTAAACCTTTCGCTTTAGATTCACAACTGTTTCCTGTGATAAAGTATATAGAATACGTCTAGTGTTAGTTGACTCGTTCCCTTATGCCTGAGTTTATTAGGTTATGACCTTGCGCTGGATCATTCTCAGTGGCGGATTCAGGATTCTTGAAAGGAGGAGGCGACCAGTTTGGGGTCGGGGTGGGGCCCAGGGGTCACACCAAAAAAAATTTGATTTATTGAATCTTATGTACATTTTTGGGACACAAAGGGCTCTAAATTCTATTCTATCAAAATTTTGGTGTCAATTTTATCTTAAGCTTAAGTATAATGTACATATGCAAAGTTTTGTTTTCGTCATTGCAAGCTGTGCATTAAAAGCTGTATACAAGAACCAATATAGACGATGCAGGGGATAGCACAAAAATATATGGCACAATGCACAACGGCCTTTTCACATGAGATTTGTGCGTTCTATATTTCAGTGTCTGCAAACACTTATTCTAAGTAATCTAATTATCCAGGAAGTTTAACTATCATTCGAACGAAGTTAAGTACAGACGGAAGCCAAACCTATACAACACCGGCTAAATTTCCGTTTGTCCAAAGATCAATCTTTATAACGCGTCGCTGAAATATAGCTTTAAGCTAACATTCTCTATATATCCGCCTTGTGTAGAATGTCGGCTTTAACAGTTGGTCTTCTCTTTATGGTCTGAATAAGACGGTTTAAGGTAAGCCCTGATCAATCGGGCTATAAGGTGATTAGCCATTATATCTTACACTGAGAAAAGGGACAGGTACTTCTCAAACCGGCAGACGATAAGAAAAACCGCGTGCCACGTCGAGCCAATCAACAGCTGACATAGAAGCAACACGTTTTGATTGTCTGCCAAGCCTAAACTTGTATATTGGAGGTGTTTAGTAGAGCAACGTTTGACGGGACATCAGCACAGGCCAAAACTTACCGCCATCATTTGACAAGGTTAGTACTGGGAATATTTTTAATAACTTTTCAAGCTTAACGAATGGAAACAGTTAATTAGTCCCTATGTAATCCTTGTACATACTTTAAGCAATGTGAAGAGTTTAAATCTCTTAGTTAAAGTCGAATGTACCTGTAGACTCCTTATACATTCTTAACACAAAACCATGTCAGGCGTAACGCCAGACAAGAATATGTACTTCGTCGTCTACGAGCCATAAATCATTCACGCAGGCTTATTGGGGTTAAATGCAAATGCATATGACTGAAAATCACAGTCGGTAAATAGAGCTTATCTTTAATGCAATTTTAAAGGTTGGCTATTTCCTAACAATCAAAGCGCGTTTGAACGTGCTTTCATATTGGGCATTGCTTACCAGAGAAGGAGTGGTGAAATTATTTGAAATAATATCTATGTGAGGAATGTCGACTTATCCCATACATGATTACGAGCAGACGTTTAGAGTGCTTGAGTGCGCTGTGACCCCTCCGATAAGTGTATAAGCTGCTTACAAACGATTTCTGCTTGATTGGAGTCGCTGGTATAAAATAAATGTGTCAACTGGTCTTTGGGCTAGATAAGCCTTCAGGTGGTGATATTACTTAGACCCATTCACCTGTCACTAGCAACCCTCTCTTATAAATGCCAGGTAACTTTTAAAGCAAAGGAGCGGATCAAGCGAAAATCGATGCCACCGTAAAGCGTACTACACTGAAATAACTCTATAGGGCAATGAATTGTTTATGTTCAGATGTGTAATAATAAATGTTCATCTGTCTACAAAACACTGTACTGTAATGCAGCTGTCCAAATTATAGTTTATTCAACAATTAAATCTGCTATGTATTTCATTTTTTCCTAAAATTTAGACGTAAATTTATATGTAATGGTTTAATTATTACCTAGCTGTCCACTCGTCTTATCAGTAATACTACGGCTGACTTAATGGCTTCTTAGCAACACAGGTGGCTTACAGGTTTCTGAAATAACTAATAATTTGTCTTCTGAGGCCCACATTGTACTTTTTTTTTCTACGGAACCAATGTACTTCAAGTAATGAAACAAGAATTTCGGTCTTCTGATTAACATGTATATAAAATATCGTCAGCATAAATATTACTTTATCTTCTTTTCAGAAATCCTAGCAGATGGACACAGAATCGAAGATAAAGGTTGAGCCGTTAAGTCCAGGGACATTCCGAACAAATAGAGAAAACGGTTTTACTTTGCCACCAGATGGAGTTACTGACGTAGACCAACTAGAATTCAGTAGATCGTACGGTTACAGTAATGGAGACGGTGGTAATTCTATGACGTATCAGAACGTATCAATGCCGGTCTTTCCCAATATGCCGTATGCTTCATCGTACTCTTACATGAGCAAAACACGCGAGGAGACCAAAGTAGAAATTCAAAATCACTATGAAAATGATGAAACCATAGAAATGAACTCAAACACGAATTTCTCACATAAACCACCCCTAGTGGGTAAGAAATCCCACCTGCCTAAGCGCTACAAATGCGCAATGTGCGCATACCGAACTCGCTATAAATCGGATCTAAACAGGCATGTTCGTAAACATGCTATCGCCACATTTAGTTGCGACATTTGTAACATGCCTTTTAAAACTATCGGAAATGTTGAGTTTCATAAACGAAAGGAGCATGTTCACTTGGTAGAAGAACAGCCACCCAAAGAAGCGATGAAGCACTCCTGCAAAATGTGTACGTACGCCACTATGTATAGTTCGGACCTGACTCGTCACGTCCGCAAACACTACATTGCCAAGTTTCACTGCACACTGTGCAACAAACCGTTCATGACATCAGGGAGTCTAGTACACCACAAAAGATCCGCGCACGGCGTCCAGGATGTAGAGGTTGTCATGGGACTGGAAGGGGTGGAATCCGTAAAGCAAACTGGTGGAGAAATTCACAGCGATCCCGAAATGAATGATCAGAAACAATCGGACATAAACGGCAACGTAAACAACGTTGAATTTGAGGATCCTAAAGAAGACCACCAGGGCAGTGGAGCAGGAGAGAAGAATTTTTATATTGAGAACAACGAATGTGAAGAAGACTGCGATTCCGAGCCACAAGGAGGGTACAACTACGAAGATCCTGATCTGGAGCCGTCCGAAATTATGCCGATTGATAGTGACAGTAATGTTATGAGCAAAACAGAAGACCTGTCGAAAATTGGCCCAGAAGGTACTAAGCATACTTGTCCATATTGTGAAAAATCCTTTGGTCGAAAACTTGTCTTGGAATATCATCTGAAAAATGTCCACAAGATATACGGGAGAAATGGGGAGATCGGTGATTACGTGGAGGACCCAGATGACTACGACCTGGCCTTAGATATGTCTATACAGGAACTAGAAAATTCGACTTCTCCCGACCTATCCTCCAAAACCGCTAACAACAGTAATGCGACCTTCCGCCATAAATGTCCATTCTGCGCATATGCTACGAATTACAAAAGTACATACGATCGGCATGTGAGAAAGCATGAACTTGCATGTCATATCTGCAATGTCTGTAGAATGCCATTCATCACGTTTGGTCACTTGCAACGCCATATTAGAGATAACCATCCGGACCATAACCAACAGATATCCGAAAAAGAAATAACTGTTGAAAAGCATAAATGTGCTTACTGCAATTTTGAAGCAGAGAGTCTTGCACAATTGCGAATGCACACCAACTCTGTTCATAACCGCCAGATAATGCAAGAAATTCAGAGACCTCCAACTAATAGTGGGTCCAGGGTATTATCTCCAGGAAAGACTCTTGAAGAAAAAGACGAGGCAAGAGAGTGCAAAGCTGACCACGTGACCAGTTTCTCACACCATGACGCTCACGCGAGCCCAGCAGAAGATGGCGTGTCCACGCATGCTCCAAGTACCGGGCGGTACGCCAAGCTTGTATCGGACTTCGACGATTTTGCTCAGAGGCCATATGCGTGTTCTCTGTGCTTTTACAGAACAGTCGATGTTGCAGATCTTGTTAGGCATGCAGAGAATCACTTAACTGGGTGCAATCAGACACCTGTACCGGAAACAGCTCGCTTCGCCATGGAAACGCTAAACAGATCACGCGCTGCACTGGCCATGAATGCAGGTCCAAGCGCACCCTTGACTTCAACTCACAACAATAAAAGCTTTGATGCAACACAAGAGCAGATGGGCGACTCTATTCGTATAAAAAGTGAACCTCATGTAGTTCAGACAAGGAAACGACCCCAGGTAACTACTGGACAAATTATGTCACGTGCTCAGCAACGGAAACAATTCGCATTCCTAAAAAACAGAGAGACCCCTTCTGTTGATCGCATTATTCCGACATTTTCAGTGCATTATCGAAAAGACAAAACTAATGTTGCTCGACCTTATTTGTGCCTTCTCTGTAGAAAGCGCTTCCGACACTTGACAATCCTAAAGCAGCATTTCATGCAAACCCACAACGAATCAGTTCCTCTGAACAAGACGTTTGATTGCAAGCAATGTTCACGACAATTTAGTAATCCAATGGCGCTTCAAGAACACTATGAGCAAAAGCATTGATTATACAATGTGTGGCCAGGGATTTTCTTTCTTTTTTATGGGATCGGGGGCTTAGTCGGTTCATTACATTCCATATGTCTTTATTCTAATTTTATTTTTTATTGTTCTGTACTTCCATACTACAATTGATTTGCCTGTATTATTTTTTAATCACATTTTATACAGTGTACCCTGTGATATACACTTCCAAAAATAAATTCCAGTGGAACTATATTATATTGTTGTTTTCTTTATTTGAAAATATATTTTTTTTTCTTTCGAAAAGGAGATGGGCGAACATAGCGTGCAGAAAGCCTATAGCTTCAGAAATATAAAAATCATGTTCAATTTGTGAATTTAATATTTAGAGTAAAGTTCTCATTATTGAAATTTATGTAATTGTGATAAACAAAACTTTTCTGAGGAAAATTTTCTCGGCAAAATTTATTCTTTTATTAAAAAAATTAATGTGGTATTCGTGGGGTTCGAACCCTAGCAATAAAAGTCCTGAGAATCATTTTCTTTCGAGACTAGCACGCTAACCACTAGACTACACAAGTCCTGACGAACAGTGGCATTTAAATCATGTTTGTGATATGACCCTTGACTTAATGGACTTCAAGTATTTCTCGAAAAGATGCGAATGTTATGTCATAAAGGTATAGTGGGTCATTGCTCCATATTTTTGGTAAGCAAAAAATGTATATTTATATGCAAACTTTGAGGATTAACTTTCAAAACGGTGGAGCGAAGACCCACTCATATCGAAAAATAGTGTTATAGTATGCGAAAATGACTCTTTTTGCCCGCTTTAGTGTGTGTCTAATATTTCACAGGCAAATAATTTCAAACTTTGAGGGATTTTTGCAAATTGTAGAGATTTTACATAAAGTATATTTTAATGTTAGACGAAATATCAAGGAAAATTTTGATATAATAGAAATTTAATTTTTCATCTTCATGTTTGTCACACTATAGGCTTATCGCTCGTCATGTTCACCCATCTCCTTTTTATTTCAAACTAGTACCGATTCCCTCAAAATATTCGAGAATACAGTTTGCGATGATTACACGATGACCAGTTCGTGTACTTGTCCATAGAAGATCTTCTATGGACAAGTACACGAACTGGTCATCGTGAAAGGACAGAATTAGTACAATTGATTTTTATACGGACAAATGTATGAGTTATAAGCTCAAATTCAATTAATTCACTAAAGTCATACATGATGGTACATTAGAAACATATACAAAATCCTCGGAGACTTGCGTAAACTAATTATACATGTAACGTTAACATTACATATTTTATACATATGCAGGAAAACACCATGGGAACATTGAGGAGAACAGATAGCCTTCAATTTAAAATATTTAAAATAAATGAACAGTTTTCTCAAACCTTCTTGGTTTTTTGGAATTGTTCAGATTTGAATTTGACTTAAGTTCGAAGAACTTTACACATTTGATCTACAGCAGTATCTATATTATCAAACATTCTTTTCTTACATTTCTGATAAAATTGCATATTGAAAATATGTATGTGAGTTTTAATATTGTCATTATTACCACACTTATAGTAAATATCTCTCTCTCTCTCCCTCCCCTCCTCTCTCTCTCTCTCTCGCTGATAACATAGGCTTCGGAACCGGGGGGCTTAGCCCCCCCCCCCCCCACTTTTTTTGCAAAGATAGACATAATATAGGCATTGAAAATTGGGGCTTACCTTTTTTCGCTGGTTTAGCCCCCCTTTCAATTTGCTTCCGACGCCTATGGATAACGCTGTAGATTCTAAAATATTGTGAAAATTATCACTTGTTTGCCCATTATTACATTTTAAATATTTATTATCATTAATTTTCTTTAAGTTGGATACCGTTTCAGAGTAGAGGATTGGGATTTGTGTTCCAAAAGAAAAATTACGATAAACTTTGATGATAATAATATAGGTACATGTAAGATGAAAACAGAATTTAAGAAAGATTCTACCAAACGACCAACAAAGTTCGAGAGAGAAAACATGAGGCAATTGGAAAAAAAAAGAAAGATTTTTTTTATATACATCTTTTGTCTTTGAGAGAAGACATTATTAAAAGTGTTTAAAGGCAAAAATACTATTCATTTCAAAATTAGGCAATTCAACCAATAAAGCGAAACCTTATTTCGAATTCTTGGTGTTTTGTAAAATGTCCGGTACAAGGTGCCGTACTTTCAAGCATATGTCTGATCCTGATTAATCATAGATACAATGTAAACAACATGGCGGTTTCAATCAGGTGTTCGTGTAGATAATATTTACTTTTTGCATAAAAGAGACAATAACGGTAAGTATACATGTATGTTGTGAATGGATTATAAAGTGGAAAATGATATTCATGATTTACGTCACATTTTTGTTTTATTTATGGTCAGTTTGATGCTTTTTAAATGCTATGAACAATGATACTATTGTGCCCCCTGGCCAACAAAGAATGTGATCGAGATACGTTTCATAAGAGATTTAACAGAAAGACAATAAGCCATTAACAGGTAGATTCAGTGGGACTGTTTAAAATGAAATCTTTGGAAACAGCACCCGTGCGTTATCTATAGCTGATTTATATCGTCTACGTATGGTAAACAATATATCTGTTAGAATAACGCTACTTGTGCATGTTGCAGTACCGGTTCATGATCATTTTAAGGACGTGAATTGACAATGGTTTTGTACCAAAATATCAACGTTGGACAGAGGGTAGAGGTTAAGCTGGGTAACCTCGTGTTCCGAGGAGTGGTCAAGTACAAGGGGTCGGTGGTCAACAGACAAGGTGACTGGGTAGGCGTAGCACTGGAGAGGGCAGGTACTAAATATAACTTTGCTAGATTATAAATGGTACTATCTGCGTTTCAATTCTACATTGTTCTTGTCGTGATAAAATTCTTTTGACTTACAGTGGGGGAAAATGATGGTATGATATTGGGGAGAAGATACTTCCAGTGCCCCCTAAATCACGGGACATTTGTTAGAGCCAGCAACATAAGATTCATCCCTATGATCAGATGGTGAGCATTCAACCATATCAGTAAATATACTACAGTGAATAACTAAATATTCCAACAATTCAAAGTCACCACAGTTGTTCCTTTATAGCATATACAATGTATCTAAATTAATGTATTAATCAAGTTAACGAATTTGCTTTATGCACGAATTTAAAAGGAAGGGATGGTCTGAAATTCAACAAATCCAATCGTTTTGCAGTTTTCTTTTTTTCCAAATATAAATTTTGTATTTATCGTATAAACATAAAATTATGTATTTCCAAAGAAAAAAAAAAAGAAGCCCAATAGGCACCATAGTTTGATCCCCCTTTTTTATTTCCCTCTAATATTTCATTAGCTGGACCTCTTTTTCTTCTTTCTTCTCTCTTGCACATGTAACACCCCCCCCCCCAAAAAGGAAAGAAATAAGGAAAGAAAGAAAAATTTTAAAAGAAACATTGGTTTGTATTTTGACACAATTTACAGAACAGATGTACTTATATACAAAATATTGAGGACAGACTTCCTGAAAATATCTTTGTACTATTTTTACTTTCAGTTTATATAACAGATACCATAGAGTTTCCGAGAAATCTTACGTTGAGGAACCACTTTTCAGTTCAAGTAAGCGGGGAAAATTTCTCTCTTTAAAAAATTGTAACTAGATGGATAGTTATGACGTCGTATGAATTTTTTTTATTCAGTGAATATTGATGGGTATTAATAGAGGCACTATTTTTTTAAATATCACTGTCTGTTCAATGTTTATAACAATCTCTCAACTCTTTTGTCGTTGGCAGCGGTTCCCAAGGCTGACCCCGCGGTCATCTCTGGTCAATATCAGGACAAGGCGAGAAACAGCTTCGCTTTTGACGGTAAGTACACCTTATCCCAAACTGACCACATCTTATTTTGTTAAATTAGAAGATCAAATCGCCTTCCAAAATTATACGTGTGTATTTCTTCTTTTTTTTTTTTAACAGATTCTTTGTTCAGCGCAAAGCGGTTTCCACTGCGACATTCGGTCGGGAACCACATACCTGCTGCAACGATGAAGCGCGCCAAAACTGCAATGGCGTCATTTCGTTATTTAAGCAGTCCTATTCACAGTGAATATGACATTCAAGAAGACTTTATAGCCACGCCCACTATCCCTAAGACACACATGCCATACTCCGCCCTCAAAAGACAGGTGGGGCGGGGCTGGGAGGGTACTCATTATGTCCGCGAAATGAGCGTGGGGACCGGAAGGGATTCAATAAAATTTTCGGCATGGAACGATATCTCACCTTAAGGATATCCAGCAACATTTTCTTAGTATTGTTACCGAGGCTTTGGTTCCTCAGAATGATTAAAACTGCTCAAACTACGTATACAAATTCAGGAGTTTAATGTTGTACAATATACCTGCATTGTTTATGTATTTAAAATAGTATTAAACTAGTAATTTATTCTAGTCGAAAAATAGTGCCCCACATTTGGGACCAATACTATGTATACTAGTATTTGCACTTAATAGATACTGGCTCTTTTTTTGCGAGCATATATTATTCTTTTAATAATTACTTGCAAGACGATTTTCAAATTCACCTCATATTTACTATGACCACTGTGATATCTTTGTATTTTTGTATTTATTTTGCGTCTTTGTTACATGGTTTATGGGGATGTTGCTGTTAGTTTGGAATGCATGTTCCTTGAAATTCGTAATCAATAAAGAAGAATAGTTAGAGATATCGCTATAGATCTTTATGAAACGAGACTTTATACAGCTTCCAGCATTTCAGATTCACCCCCCATTTTTCAGTGTGACATGGCGTCTTTGATCTCTTCATTTGCGAAACTGATGGCAGATTCAATGGTTTTCAGACCTGTTTGGAGAGCGTGATTGATTTTCGTCTCAAGAACATCTGTAAATGATTAAAAATATTTTGTATATCTTATTCCGTGCCATACACATACAAAAACGGCGATTTTGGGGATATCTAAAACGTATACCTTTCTGAAGGGAAGAATTTACAATATTGTGTAAATTTCCAACGATATTGTTGACAGCACTCCCAAGTGACGTCACTACCTGTAAGACAATAAGATTGATTTTAGTAACAGGTACTATAGTGAATTAATTATTAATAACTAAAATGCCTAGAGGTTTCAGGAAAAAGAGACATCATTCTCTCGACGAAACCGACCTGTTTGAGTGCATTAGTTTTATGCTGAAGGTAGGAAGCTAACTTTTCGTCTGCTTTGGTAGCCCTCAAATTGTAAGTTGCCAGAAACTCAGCGATGTCCTGTCTAGCCTTCTTGATAAGTAAATCTTGCTGTTCGTGGTGTTTCGCTTTCATACAGAATAAAAAGCGTTCTTTGAACCAAAGTTGACAAAAGGAAAATGCGTCATTATTAACGACTATATCACATCACACTGTTTTTATGTAAAATTTAGGAGCAAGTGTAAATTTTCTCTGGTATTGCTTGAACTGTATTTGTATGAAAGAGAAAACCCAAATGCTAATTTTTTAACAGTTGAACCAAAAAAGTACAAATTTAAAGCTTGCCGATGAGTTGAAGTATATTTTCTGGCAATTTCAGTTCGTCTGAAGAAACCCGAAGTGCATTGAAGAGTTTCTCAGTCTGGCTTTGAATCTGTGAAATCGTGTTTATAGCTGTTTCAAATATCGATTTCGTGACATAGGGCACACTATGGGAATAGAACAATAAAATTCATATATAGACTCCTTAGTGGAACAACAATTACTGATTATGACAAATGTGCATAAAATATTGTGTACAGTATATATATCCTTAAATTTCCAACAAAGTCTGGAATATAGCGGTTGTACAAAAATTATGCGAGACGCATGAGTAGAATATTCATACCCTGTTGGCTTCTTTTCAAGTCGATCCAGATCTGCAAGAATTGAAAATGCACATAAAGTGCAGCATGCAAAATGCACATAAAGTTTCTGAGTGAAACGTCAGCGGGTTACATCTAGTATTTTGAAGTAGGTAGAGTTGCATAATGAGGAAAAGTGGAAGACACCAATACACGACAAGGTACTAGTATATGTTAAACATAAGAACTACATACATTCAAAGGCCTGGCTGATGGCGGATGGGAGGTGGTTCTCTGCGTTTTGTATTAAGATTTTGACACTGTCCAAGCCTCTCTCCAGCGCATCATTAAATTTATCCACCGCACCAGTGAGATCCGCCCCCGAAGACAGACACTGACATTGCAGGATGGCCAATCCCAACAAAGTCACCAGCAACATCTACAAAAATAATGTTATGCATTGTTTTCTTATCATCGCTTCCTATTACTTTAAATTTTTGAATTGATATTTTTAAAGTGAATAACCACATACACATATTTATGTACGTTACTATAAATCAACACACTTTCTAAAACATCACTCTCCTGACCCCAAAACCATAAGCTGAGAACAGACGTAAGTCAAAATTTTAATTCTGTATAACTTTTGAAAAGATCATGAAAAATATACCAAATTTTCATTGAGTATTTGACAAAATTGCAACTCTTCAAGCATGTTTGTTGAAATAAAATCAAGACATTCAGAATCTGAATTTTGACTTAGATCTGTTCTCAGTTTATGGTCTTGGGGCCTGGAAACATTTGCTGTATGTCTTGGGCAGATATTGCTGACATGTATGTCTGCTTCAAACATTGATACAAAGTTTCTGCAATTGAACTTAAACTTACTGTGACAACTGTACAAAGCCTTTATCTGTTGAATGAGTGAAGCAAGTACATGTATGTATAACCAGTTAGATTTTGGTTATAAAGTTATAAAAGTAATTCCTGGACTATATCCGCTGTTTAAAGGCAAACGGGGAAGAAGGAATGTTGGCGGTTAATACAGTAGCGGCGCTGTGGGGCCGTAATGCAAGGTAAACGAAAAAGGTGCCGTATTCCTTATGGTCTTCCAATATACAGTCTAAGAACTGGTAAAATCAGGTTTCCGAATTTATTGTGGATGATGGTAAATAACAATCAACATGAATTTCAACAATAGCTTACAGGTCTTAACCGAGTTGGATGTGGCCGGTAGAGCATCGGGCCTCCAAAACTCAAGAATGTATAATGGACATAGCTTTTTGTAAGATAGAGAGTAAACAATAATTGAATTATGACACTAGCTGAGTTAATTGATAGACAGGTGTGTTTCTTTGATGGAATGGACATAAAAGACATTAATTGCTAAATAATTATATAAACAAAGTTATTGATATTAGATTAACAGGTCCTGAGGCATTTACACCTTAAACGAGTATCAATTATTTTAACACGTCACTTAAAGTCAATTGGAATGTCTTCATTCTGTTTCAAAGAGAATGAGATTCAATCAACTAAATAATAGACACACAATGATAACAGATAGAGAATTTAAGAGATAAATGTCCAAATTTAGTAAAATATATTTAAAGAGTTATTTATTTCAAAAATGTTAATTTTGCTCGGTGATATATGCAGCATGCAAATGAGGTTTGCTGCAGACAGCAAACATGGGATTCTCCAAATATGGAAACCTTGCTGCTAATTTGATGCAAAGATTGTTGCAAACTTGCAGCAAACATTCTGTTCAATAAATATCTTTGAAACATTTCAGCGTGTTAGTTGCGAGCTCGCAGAAAATCTTTGCTCTGATCTTTATGATACGGAGGACTCAACCATCAAACATATTTAAAAATAATATGTTATTTGATGCCATTTTCGGAAGTCTTAACAGTTTAAATTAATAGATAGTTTTTCTATTGGACGTGTGATCTATTATATGCATTGTACGAGTACATGTATAATACTATCCAGAGAATATACAGAAGGTTTGGGTCATTTGATCCTTACACAAATCTATAAACCACAGCATCGACAATATATGACTAGCAATTCAAGCAGCTTCATAAATTATTCATGAACCAATATCAAGAGACTATGTGGAACACAAACCTCGTGTAAGGGAGGGGGTTGTCTTATGATTAATTTTCCAGCGATTATCCTACAGTCCATCTTTTTTTGGGGGGTGGGGGTGGGGGAGATGTTGAAATCTACAGTTATTTTGCTTATTTAAGGAAGATCTTAACACTGTTCATTGAAGAGTTCTAATTCTGTAGTTTTTTTTTTAAACATCCTTATTCTTTTATCAGACCAAGATAAACTTATTAAAAACATTAGTCATATGTATTTTCCTAATGTAAGTGAACGGTGATTTCCGTTTACTAATGGTTCATTGTTTTTGAACATTTTTCTTGGTCGGACTCTGAGAAATATGGCAGGTACTCTGTGTTGAAATTAAACTAATAATACTTTAATAAACAGTATGCACACCTTTACATGATACAATTTACTCAAAGTAATAAAGGCATTTTTATGAGAGTTTATAAATCTTCCTTGAAACTGAGTTATGTTTGAGAGGGAGAGAAAAATCAGGTTTCCTTCTGGTTAAAACATTTCTGAATTTATAATTTTATCATATACTCACGGTTTCAAGCAGATAGTTCGAGTTAATATCTTGGGACTAACTTGTTATCTTTAATTGGTTGAAAACTCCTTGCAGACCGTATACATTGTAAAATATCTTATCATAGTTTTACACGCGCGTCCTCGTGTCTGTATGCTTGCCGACGTGGTGCATAATCCAGATTGGTTCGAATACAGCTGAAGACAGAGAAAGATGCATTTGGAAATGTGTCAGTGATGATTCTGCAAGGTGCTACAAACAGACTTTGCGTTGGAAAGACTTTAAAAATATTTTGTGGCTTTATTGTGCGCAACACATTTTTTGACTGTTTCTCTAATATTAGGACATTGTTACATGTACTAGACTTTTATTCATACAACCTCATATATATGTACATGAAAACAGTTGTGTCATTAAACTATTAATAGCTTATATAAAAAAAACCCTGAAAAAAATAGCCAAAGTATTTTATAACGAGAATACACGTATGTGTCAGAATTAACAACTTTTATCATAAACCTATTTTTTTTCCCGCTTTGGATTCTTGCCCCCGCACTCTATGCATGCTTCCTTTCGAACTGATTAATGTCATGAACATAGGTCATTGCAGCATTATCGGACAGTTTTCACTTTTACTGTGGAATACCTTCCCGTTGATTTAACTTTTTATTTAACTCTTTTGATGATGATGAACAGTAAAGTTTAAATTCTCCCGACGATTTTGATGTAAGGAGGTGTGGGGGTGGGGGGTCGATCAAGTAGTATGCGAGGGGGGGGGGGGGAGAGAGAGAGAAAAACACGCACATTCATATATATATATATATATATATATATATATATATATATATATATATATATATATATATATATATATATATATATATATATAAAACAATGTAGATCTGACAATGGTTATTTCACATTTTAAGTAGCATATCATACTTCTGAAAGTCACCTGGCGCCGATTTATTAAGAATCTTATACCGGTTAGCCAATTTCTCACGGTATGAAAAGTTTTCAGCCGACGACGGGTATTGTAACGGATCATGATTAATTCTCCCCATGGCGTTTTTCAGCAAGTTTTTCAACCTTTGAGGACTTGTATTGCCATGAATGTGCTTAAGGAACTATGAGTTAGTATTTGATTTAAAGAATACGAATATTCAACTTTAAAGCCATATTTCGAAAGGTAGGTTTTTCTGATTGCTTAATCTTGTTACGGCTATTATTTTTAAATAAAACTTTGGAGCGTATAAGTTAGTGCTAAGAAGTACGTGTAAGAACAACAGTATTGGTATTTCTAGTAATGATAATTATTATGACATGCTTTTCTCTGGAGTCAATAAAATAAAAGCCTTAGTCGACCCATCGTATGGAATAATAACAAGAGGCTCATGAGCCTGACCGCTCACCTGAGTGACAATGGTCCTGCTATTCTTCAGTAAATTTTTAATAGATTGTTTTCCTCTGTATCCTGAAGAAAATGATTGTGGCTGCACTCCTCTTCCTGTGACCATGTTTTAAGTAAACTTTAATCTGCACTATAGCCTGAGGATGCTAGCATATCATTATGACAATCATAGTACCTCTTGACTATGACTATTACACAATATAAAACTTACCTCCCGTATAGTAGCCCAATCCTTTTCCCCAGGGATCATTATTTGATGTTTTTGAGAGGACGTCTTTTTTTCCGAAGATTTCGTCCTATATCAATATATATTCCTATGAAAAAAAAAATCATCCTCTATTAATAGAGGATCATTTTTTCCATAGGAATATATAGGACAAAATCTTAATTGTGGCCCGTCCCTACCCCCGCAGTTTATAAAAGGATGCTTGCGTATTAATATGACTCATCATGGCCTTGCTTTTTTGGAGAATGGGGTTTTAAAAGATTTTACCTCACCTTGCCGGCGTCCCAGTTAAAGTTTTAGGAGGCCGCGCAAGTCATTCCCATGTAACTATAAGTCCTATCGGTACCAAACTTGCATGGGTGATACATCTAGGGATGTGCACTAATAGACATGCTTCAGATGCTGGATCTGACCTAAATTTTCTGGTTGAGTGACCAGGTGAGAGTTTTTGAAGAAATCCATTCCCAAGTAACTATAAGCCCTGTGGTGACAAAACTCGGAAGCATAATGCATCAAGAGATGCACACTACCTAAATGCCTCGGATGATGGATCTGACCAGTCCTACATTTCCTTGAAGAGTAACCAGTTAAAGTTTTTTTGAACATGTCTCATTCCCAAGTAACTATAAGTTCTATCTGTACCAAACTTGCATGGGTAGTGCATCTAGCAGCTGTCTGGGGATGTACACTAATCAGACTTGCTTCAGATGCTGGATCTGACCTACATTTCCTGGAAGAGTGACCAGGTTAGAGTTTTTGGAGCAGATCCATTCAAACATATTTTCTGGAAACGCGAAAAAAAAAAACCCCACCAGCTATGCTTTTTCTAATTGAAAATTGATCAACAAATATTATAATTTTGGGATAAAAACCATAGATATATATCCCGCCATTCGGAGAAAATTGCATGTTTTTTTTATACTTACGTATATAGTATTTTAGGTCTTCTATTTACATCAATAGTTATTACATGTATGTAGTCCAAAGTATCTGAGGTTTTCCGTACTTTTTTTTCACGATTTTTGATATTTTACGTGCCAGGAAAACGTCAGAACCGGCGCCATTACGAAAACTGGAAATTTTGTCGTCTCCAACCAGAGTTGATTTTCGATACTTGCGAACCGAATTATATGCCAAACCAACAATTTATCAATAGATGAATGCTTCTAGTACTCACTGATATCGATGAAAAGAAAATATCACTCCACATTTGATACAGGACTTGCAAGATTTTAAAATGCACGAAATGAAAACAAATCTCGACAATCAGATAAAATGTTTTCATCGGATTATATGTTATATAAACTAACCATAAAAACGATGTTGGTGAGTACTAAAAGTATTGTACTATTGATATGTTGTGAGTTTGACATTTAATTCGGTCAGCAAGTATCGAAAATCAACCCGAGAACGCCACCTCCAGTTGGAGGCGGCGAATTCCCAGTTTTCGTAATGGCGCCGGTTCCAACGTTTTCCTGGCACGTAAATATCAAATCGTTAAAAAAAAAAACCCAGGAAAACGTCAGATATTTCGGACTAACATGTATGATACATAGTATCAAAAGCTTCCAAGACATCACAGATCACTCCTATCATATCCTGCTAATAAGCATTGGTTTCTAAAGGAAATTCGATTTCTCTAAAATGTATTTATTTTTGGGTAGTTTTATATAGCGTACAAATGTCAACTTTTTACAAGTCTTTTTTTTAAGATTTCAAAGAATCTTGCATCATATTGAGATGCATGAAATGAACATTTCTGCACGAAAAGATTTCAATTTTAGGCTTCATTTTAAGACTTTAAATTAAATAATAATTTTAAGAGTTATCATTCCTGGCTGAGGAGCGGATATCCCTAAGTACCATATGTTATTGACATGTTACCATATGTTATTAGCTGTATAAGGTTTTGACCACGTGTATATATATTAACCATCTCCCACCAACATTGTCAATATTAAACCATTTCTTGTTTGTTTGTTTTTTCACAGTGCAGCAACCAAAAAGAATATCATACACACATACACCGGGCCCAAGTATAGAGTGCAGAAACAGAGGAATAATGGGGAAAATGTTTCAAGCAGTTACTATGGATTTAGATATGATATCGTTCCTCATCTCCACTTCCATATATATTATTTGTGGGACGATTGGCAACACACTTGTTATAGCCGTTTACTTATCTAGAAAAAGACAATTTCCAAGACGAGCCTACATCCTGAGTCTGGCGATCACAGACCTTGTAATAATGGTGCTTGTCGCCCCCTACACCATTGTGTTTCAGTTACGACTGGTGACAAGCAGTTTTGCTTGTCACGCGTTCGAAGTGTTTCGTCATGCAGCCATTGGGTTTTCTAATCTTATCCTCATTTTGATAGCTTGGGAACGCTTAATGATGGTATGGAGGCCCCTGAAAGCTATGGAATCTACAACCAAACTCTCCTTCATGATAGGGTTTCTGTTATTTGCCATTCTTTGTGCCAGCCCTGCTGCTCTTGTTTATAATGTAAGTTACCACAACAGTACCCAGTCTGGAAATGGAACGCAGACACAGCAAAAATACTGTGCTCATACAACAAGCATATTAGGAAAACAGAAAACTTTATGGTACAGAAATTTGATTTCTTTTTTGATGGGAGTGGAATTTTTAATTTTGATAACAACTTATATTCTTGTCTATGTACTTATCTATCGACATAGGAAAAGGGCTCCACGAGCATATGTAGGATCAAATATTAAAAATCGTGTACAGAAGCAAGATTCAAATGAAAGTCAAACACGCAGTGCTTGTCCTATCGACAATGACAGAGTAGAAGACCGTGGTGAATTAAACATTGTCTCAACCCCATTATGTCAAGTCGAGAGGACAGATTCTGAAGAAGTTGACACAGACGTCAAAGAACGGTCTTTTGCAAGGGTTGAATCTACTCCATTACGTCAAGTCGAAGACTCAGATTCTATAGAGATTGCGACGGATGAAAATTTAGTTTCAAGAAAATCAAAAATATCCAACGGAAAACAAGAGAATAAACTGGAAACCATCTACCCGGAGAAAGATTCTGAAAATGATGACATTGCTCAAGAAAACTCTTCGCCGAAAGATCTGCAAAGCTTTGGACACAAAGGTGCAGAATCGAAAACGATCGACCTAGAAAGAACGTCAGTATCGGAGGAAAGTGAAAATCACCGAGAATCAGCGTGTCTTAATGGTGACCAGTTATGCCAAGGTAATAATTCGGTATCTTCACCACTCAAGGGATCACAGAAAAGGCAAAACTCAACAAATTCTAGAATCCTCGCATCCGCCCAGAAAAGACCTACGATGCAAGCGAAAACGTGGACCATGTTAACCATCTGTACATTTTTGTACGTAATTTGTTGGATTCCCTATTCTTTCTACGCTTTTGAAGTAACCAGTGGATTAATATTCCAGTACTCCTTTTTCATTGGGCATGCGTCAAATCCTATCATATACAGTGTTGTTAATGTCAGGGTTAGGAGGGGGATCAAAGAATTGTTTTCTAGAAAATCACACAAAAGGACAAGAGGCATAGTGCATACTAGTAGTACTAACGCTTCAACGTCATCGAACGTTTGAATCTGCAACCATGCATGAAAAAATACTACTCGTATTAGGAAGAACGCTTCAGCGCCATCGACCATTGGAATCTGCAACCATGCATGAAAAAAATAGAGGAACAAAAAACATGTATATGTTTAAATATCGGCCTGAAAGTGCTAGTGATATTTGGCACAATGAGATTTTTGAATTTCTGCTTCAAAGTTTATCATTAAAAAACCAAAAAATATGTGCTTTGTTTTATCTTAATTCTAAAAAAAGAACTTAAAAAAAAACGTTAACCAAAGAATTAAATGCAAAACCTGTGTCAGTTTAAGGTTCATTATCCCTGTGGTCACTCAGATAATGTTTTCTTAAAAGTTTATGTTTTTCCAAAAGAAATCTGATTTATCATTAAAATGCAAACAATTTCAGCATACCTTTCTTTGGCAAAATATGACAGAAATAACATTTTAATTTAGCAATTTCATTAAGGAATAATAGACGTTTATCATTTTAAGAGTTATCTCTCTTATCAGAGTATCAGAGAACCTTAAGTGATTTTTAAGTAATCATGTTGTTTTTGAATTACTAAGGTGGAGGTGAATGCAAAATTTACAAGATGGCTTATTTTGCATTGTATAGTAAAGAGGGCATACTAGTACAATTTAATGTACATAAATTATATTCTCCCTCACTATGTTCGTCCGAATATAAAACAATTATATTCTAAGTATGAGAGTAATGAAAAGAACTCATATGTTGAATGGTACTCGCTATAACCTTTTATTTTGCATTGCCTTATATAATTATAATATTGATTCAGTCTATTATAAATAATTTTTTCATTAATCAATACATTCAGAACCGTAACATACATAAAATATCAAATACATAATGTTTATCTCATTTTTACATATACGTGTATACCCGTAGGTTATAGCGAGACTCGATAATCGAACATGAATGACTGAGGATATATATAGTATGTGATCACGTGATAAGTATGGAATGCAACGAATTTAATTTTATAAATTCAAACAAAAGGCCTCTGGAAGTTATGAACTCTTTCACCAAGATATCCCTTATTAAAGGGTTTTTTGATATTTGCTCTTCTTTCTTCCAGTCCTGCTGGTTTATAGTGTTAGTTACCACAGCAGTACTCACTCTGAACATGGAACACATACACAGAAAAATTAGCATACTAGGAAAACAGAAAAATTTACTAACATAATTTTGTTTTCTTTTTGATTGGAGTGGAATTGCTAATTTTGATAACTACGTACATATTCTTGTCTATCTGTTTATCTATCGACATCTAGGAAAAAGGTCTCACAAGCGTATTTAGGAATCGTGAGCGAAAGCAAGATTCTAATGTATCAGTCGACCACTCTGTGCTCGACCTTTTCGCTGTCTTGGGGACAGATGATGCAAACGAACTTTCTTCAAAAATCATGAAAATTAAAAAGCCATGTTTAAATTAGTAAAATGAATAAGTTTAGCCACATAGATTTTAATTTTTCATTCAATTTTCCACAAGTAATGTCCTATACATGTAAAGTGATAAATATTTTGCATATAGATTTATAAGGTTGACGACAAAAAGGTACACTTTCAAACATCATGGAAAGTTTACAAGTTTTTAACACAATGTATTCTAGAAATTTGATATTATAATTTACAATAAAAATGGTCCAAATATATTATACCAAACTAGGCATCAATTTTTTTGTTTGTATCATCTGTCCTTAAGCAAAGTCAAGAAGACAGAATCGAAAGAAGTTCCTGCAAATGCCAAAGAACCGTTTTCTGCGAGGATTGAATCTACGCCCAATATTACGTCATATCGAGGAAACAGATTCTACAGAGATTGCTACGGATGATATTTTGATTCGAGAAAATAATAAAAAAAAAATATTGTCAAATAAAATCTGCAACATGACTACATTAAAATAATTATATTGCAGATTTATTTGACAAAATATGTCAAAAAGGACGATATCCTCTAGAAAACAGGAGGATAGCTTAGAGACGGTATACCTGGAAAAGAAAAGAATCTGATAATTTAGTGTTTACTCGACAAAGGATTTGCAAAGTTCTGGACATGCAGTCACATAGATGCTGAATCGAACACGATCGATCAAGACTGTCGACAAGAATAGAGGAGGGTGATCGTCACCGAGTGTGTCTCGATGGCGACCAGATAAGTCAAGGTGATAATCCATTGTCTCCTCCAACATCCATGGGATTACAGACAAGTGCTTGATTTCATAGCAATGTACCAATCATCACCCGAGAATGAACACTAGCAAGCGGTTGGAATTTGAGTGCAAGTAAAATATTTAGTTATAAATTACCACATACTTTTCACCCAAACATATTTTTGCCTGAAGAGCTATGGAGAATTTGTTAAAACTCAAAAATTTCTACCAGACTGTTAATAATTGGATGACACAGATTCATGCTTTGGAATGGGGAATAATCCCCCTAGATTTGCCACGTCAAAATCTTTCTATATAAAAAAATTACTAGCAAATTTTAACGTTTATTTGACGTTGGTGAATTCTCTTCACCTTCTGCTTCCCAAGAGATCAAAAAGAGTTATTCTGAAGGTATATTTACCGTACTTATAGGTTTCAAGATAAAGATGAGATTCAAACTTATATCCACCTATTTTTGACATATATGATTTTGGTGTTGGGGATACCAAAGTTTAACTTAACAAATAGAGATAAAAAAGACACTAGTCATATAATTATTATCTGACAGGTTTATTTCAAAAAGAACATGTAAAAAAAAATTATTTCATTAAAAAATAATCTCCTAAAATAATAAACATCATTGTAATAGCAAAAGGAAAAGATACAAAGATTTGAATATTAAATAAAGAATAAAAAAATATAAATATCACAGTTTGAATCAAATAATGAGCAAGACTCCTTATGCTACTGATTTACCCTTGAGAGAGGAGGACGAGGTGCGAATTAAAATTAATTACAAAGTGCGTAGAGGCCAATCCTAAGTATTGTGCATTGAAAATTAACACCAGTACGTAATATATGCTAAATTAACTATGTAAAACTGCTTTCTTTCATGTTTACATTTGTAAAAAAAAAAAAAATAAAATCTTTAATCCAATTACCACAGCCATATTTTGCATTATTTCTAAAATTTTCTCAATATCTACGGTAAATTTTACATTACTTCACTATCTGAGAGAGATATTAAAACAAAGAGGATTTTTTTGGCTCTAAAACCATACTACAATCATGGGTGAAATAAGTCCAAGTGTTTGTTTATGGTTATCCTTGATGATATGTAGTAATGGAAGTACCATGAGGTAGATGATTGGGAAAAACAATACAAATGACAGTCATGTTACTAGTAGGATAAACGTTTGATTTTCCTCCATATATGAATGAATAATTAAAAATAAAAAATTAATCAAATCTAAATCAAAATCAAATTAAACAATAATGTAAATATATGACACAAAATGTACTGGAATTTCTTGATCAGATGAAACAGAATCATTGAGTATACTATAGTATCAAAAGAAACCTTGCTATTAGCTCTTCGTCAAGAATAATAAGAATTATTTTTCATTAATGACATTTATTTGTCATTACAGCTCTTCATCACTTTCTACGTGTGCAAGTTTTTGTAGAACCTTTTTCTTTTTCTTTCTGCCCCCCTTTTTCTGTACTTTTGTTTCTAGGGGAGGTAATTTGGAGGGTAGACCAGAGGTTGGCAGAGTTTCGAAGTCATCCACTCTCCGCGCTTCCATGACTTCTCCAATTGGCTCGGGTCTTTTATCTAAATACGAGTATTCATCATCATCAGATTCATTATTCTCGTTCAGTTTTCGTAAGGTACGTCTTTTGGGGATTTCAGGGAGGGGTCTTGAGATGGAGTCAACATTCTGGTCACTCGTACGGCGAGATTTCTTGGAGGAGCGCTTCTTTTGAGATCTGAATCAAAATTGAAAATCATTGAGTTAGACAAATCATAAATAAAGGTGATAAGATCAAAGATTCAAAACTATTAAAACAAAGTCATTTGACATTTTTTTATTTAAACATAGTAAATTAACTTTTTAGTTTACTGAAAACCATTTTTGGAATAAAATTTCAAATAAATACCAACTCTTTCAAATTAATTTTCAAATAATTCACTGATTTAAATTGAATTAGACATAAAATTATGATAATTAGATAACATGTATAAACACAATGCATGGACATCTAAATCAAAGAAAATGAGATTAAATATTGAATGTTTTGGCCCCTGGGTATAAATTAAAATTTAAAATGTAAAACTTGAGACTCATAATATATCTACTTAAGGTATTTGGTTGTGAACAAATTAGACAGAATATGATATTGAGGACATTTTCAAGCTTTTGATTGGATAGAAATAATAGTTCATATCAGATATTTAACCTGTGTTGCCAACATCACAATATTACTTATGTCAAAATGTATCAATCCGCTTGACGTTAGACTTAAAATATGTACAATATAAAGGAAATTTTAAGGGGAAATTGTCTTATATTTTACACTTAATAATAGAAATTGAATTAAATAATAAATTTAATAATTACCCAAGTTATACTTGGAACAGTTTATGCTTTTTTATAAACCACTTTGTGGTTATAATATAACAAAGCATAAACTGTCCCAACCCAGGTTAAACAGTCATGTACAGTATAACTTGTGTAGCTATTAAATTCATTTCTTAGTAAAACTTTGCATGCTCCTGTGGTCCCATGTCCCTGTCCCACAAACCTGAATTTCCACTCTCTAGAGATGCTTGCATGTAAGTTGACAAGACTTTGAAATTGGCTCAGTGGTTCTGGGGCAAAAATGGTGTCCTCTATTCTCCCATTTTGACTACATGTATTACTCCAGAACCACTGGGCCAATTTCAACCAAGCAAGTCTTGTGAACTTATATGCTACTTAGCGTCGTTATAAAGTGGAGATTCAAGCAAAAGGTCACCAGAGTGACTCAAATGACTTAATAATTAGTATATTTAATGAAATGTTACAAGAATTAAATGATTTATTAATGACTAACACATTAAGTTTGTAAATTTGCTGGAAACAAATTATCAAGAGAATGAATTTGACAATAAAGTGTCAGAAAATAAAATTACAAGTGTACAGAGGTAAAAAAAATGTATATCTATATATTATTTAGACAAACTGTGTCTTAAGTTACTTATAAAATTTATTCTGTTATTATACACAAAACTCATTTATTTGTGTGTAGTTTTTAACTAAAAAGTCTGAGACCTCAAATTAAATAAAAACACAGTGGTCACAATTCCAATCAACTTAAGAATCAAGTTAATCATGTGTATTTATTGTCTGATTACGATTGTAACAGAACAATCCATTGCAAAATATGTGGTACATGTACTTAGATACGTACGTTAAAAGATCCACTATATTTAATGTTGAAGAGAGTGATTAAAGGTACTAGTAATTGTATGTATAAGGAAGATGTTTTTTAAATTCATTAAAATCAAAATCAAATTAAAAAAAGAAACGTCAAATACATTTGTACTTCATTATTATCCAATCACAATTACAAAACTTATTGGCCTAACTTAAGTTTAAGTACTGCAGCCTGCTGTTTACATGTAGTAGAAATAAAACATATAGTCTGGAAATCTCTAGAAAGATTCAGATTTACTTCATTTACAATAAAGAAAAATTTGTTTTACCGTAATTGGCACAAATACTGTAAGTCGTTTTAATTCCACGGTGCTAAAATTTCAGGATTTCTCAAAAAGTACTAATCGCAATGATTTTAATTTCACGCTAAAAGAAATTAATTTAAATTTCGTATAAGCATTTAAACATTTTTAAAAACTAATGATGGCATTTACGGTTGGTTAAATTTCGTGGAAAAAAATTATCAATCACAAACATAGTGAAATTAAAACCATCGTGATTACTTGCCAATCTACAGTAAATAATTGATGCTCAAAAGAAATAAAGACTTTGAATACTGTTCAACTTTGCAGTAAAAAACTGAGGAAGTTATGGAAGCTTTAATACCATACACTACGTTGGGGGGGGGGGGGGGGTAACAAATGGTCTCCCCATTGTTTATTTCTTTTTTTATAAATATAATGACTTTATGATTTAAAGTGACCTGACCAGTGGAAGGTAAATTTTGATGAACAATCAT